AAAATAAAAAATATTTATATATTTTAATATATTAAGTTTTCTTTTTTTTTTTTTTTTCACTTACACGCCAAATATATTTGCTTAATTTTAAATTTTAAAACAACAACATCTAATAATAAAATTTTTAAATTTTGTGTAATTTAAATATCTATATTCTTAGAAATGAAATAATATATATATAAATATGGTATGGTAAAAAATAAAATAAATCATGACTTTTCTTATTATACAAATGTTGTCAAAGCAAAAAGTGCATATAATTTTATAATCAAGTATATGGATAGATATATAGATATATATCTATAGTAAATTGATTTATTTTTAAAAATACAAATGTGTCCGATCTTCATATCAATAAAATGTAAGAAATTAATTTTTAAGAAAAAAAACTTTTATGCTAAATCTTCTTCAAACTAAAGAGAAATTACATACAACAACAACAACAACAAATGAAGTTACATTGTAAAATCTCACAAGTGAGATATGAATACATCGATATTGAAATTGAAACATCACGATTATTTTATCTTAAAATATTTTAGAAAAGGCAAAAATGAAGAAAAATAATTATAAATTTAAATTTTTATTACATAATTTTTTTAAGAAAAAAAAAATAAAATAACGGAGCTAAAAATAAAAATTATCATTTAAAAATTAATTAAAAAATTTATAATAATGAATTTATAAAAAGATTGTTAAATATCTTTGAAATATATTAGAATTATTAAATATCGTTTTGTAATGATTTTTTCTCTTTGTAGAAAATTATTTTTCACTCTAATTATTTTTTAAAATTTACCGAAATCAATAGATTAAGTATTTATTTTATATTTAAAAATAATTATCGAAAATAAATCAAATGAATCGATAAATCACCGAAATAAGAAAAAAGTAACAATAATACAAATTTTTCTATCGATTACTTTATAGAATTTGAGATCATCTTATCTATAATACAATTATATATAATTACAAGAAAATACTTATAATTTAATTTTCATACAATTTCATTTAGTTTGCCATTAGTTTGCATAGAACAAGTAAAATTTTACAATTATTTTTAATGTGAAAATATATTTTTACATTAAAATGATTTATCAAATCGAATCTAAACACAAAAATTTACTTATAAAATTTTTTGCAAACAATTTTTGTATTATTTTATATGTTAAATCTTTAAGCCACATATATGATATAAACTAAATATACTATATATATGTATAGCGTTTAACAAGGGAGAAATAAAAATGCGATACAACAGATAAAAAAATAATAATATAAATTTATATGTATATACATGTATGTTATATGTATATACATATATATATATATATACATATATATATACATATACATATACATATATATTAAACGGTGACAGCAAAAGGCAAAAAATTAGAAAATCTGATATTTTTTTCTTTTTCCATTTTAAATGACTAATTGCTCCATTTTTTAAAGGATAAAATCTTTCGTTTGAATATATCAATGTCGACATATGAAAAGAAACATTTAAAACATTTTGCAACTGGATAATTATTTATGATAAATTTTACCATAATTATTTAGTAAAGAAAAAGTAATGCAGCAACTATTTACATAAAATTATACTTAAATTTTTACAATTATTATTCAATGCACGTAAGCGCACACAATAATTATAATATACATTTTTACATGGCTTTATATTATTAATACTTTAAATAAGCATACTTGTGTTATTGTTAGTATTAAGTATAGACAAGAATTCTATGCGGCTAGTCTTATCTATTTTTTTCAAGAAAATTAATTTATAATTAATAAATATACAAATTAAATAAATATAAATGAAAACAAAATATATTTCACGTGAAACAGAAAGTTCGATTAAAATATTTAAAAGATAGAAAAAATTCATCTCAGTTGTTCAAGATTTTATGAACTTGTCATATAAAGGAAAAAAAAAAATATTTTTCTCGCAAAAGCACAAAATTCTTAATTTCTATACTTAAATGCAATATATATATGTAAAATGAAATATTTAAAAACTAAAAAAAATAATTACTGAAATAATTATTAGAATGTATAACACAGTTGTATTATTTATCGCCAAATAAAAATGCATGATATGTTTACGAAAGCACATAATTGATTTTCATAATTCGATTATTATTTTAAAATAATGTTCTCCGAAACTGATATTAATATTAATAATACTGATTAAACAAATATTTAATAAAAGAAAATATATAATGAAATAAATTAAATGTCTTATATATGTGAAAATTTAAATTTGCGTTGTAAAATATATAACTAAGAAGAGAAAGAGTAAGATAATTTTGATTAAAAAAAATATATATATTTTTAAAAAATATATTGAATATTGTAATATTTGAAAAATATTTATTTTAATTTAATGCAACATTTAAAATATATATTCTTAGTTTCGTAATTTTTTCTAAAATTCGCAGAAAAATAAGAATAATAATGATTTGTTGATCTTACAATTGATTGAAAATCGATATAGTATAATTAGATAAACAAAAAACGAAGAATAGAAAATGTTCAAGTATGATAACTTATTTGAAAATTTGAATCTTTCACTTCAAAAAATCTTTTATCCTTTCATTTTATATCGTATTTTATATGACAAAACATAATATATAAAACATAGAGAAAAAAAATTTTTAGTTTTTTTAGATAATGGAAATATTTAGATAATTTAATTTTAATAAAATTTATAATTTATCGTATAAGAAAGATAAAAAATACACAAAAATACACACCCTTTTCTGATTATATCTTTTACTTATTTTTCTCTTTCATTTTATTATTATATATTATTCACATATTATTATATACAATTTTTACCAAAAAATTCGAAAATTTTGTAATTTCTTATATAAAACTCTTTTATTTTTTCTTCATTATGCTTTTATATCAATTAACGAGTATGTAAAATATATTGTTATATATTTAGAAGCCGAACATCTATTTTTTATATATATTATAAAAAAGAAAAAAGATTTCGTATTTTTTAAAAGAAAAATTATTATCGCTCTTCACTAAACTAATATGATTTCCTTTCTTTCCTTTTTTCCTTTTTTCAGATCATATTATTAGATTATATCATCAGATCAAAAGTCAAATATCGATAAAATTTGGAAAAATCATTGGTCTATCGTATCGTATATTGAAATGGCGAATTTAATTTTCCGATAAAACAATTCAAGGATGGAAATTTGTTTTATCATAGATGAAATGAAAAAAAGTTTATATTTATTCGAATAAGCGACTGTTGAAAATTAAAATTCCAATATAAATTTAATATCAGTTTCGGGTTTTAATTAATATAAAAAGTTTATATGGTATTTCGGTAATTATATCACCAATTTATAAAATTTTATAAATTTTGAAATTTTATTAACAATTATCACGAAATACAATCCTACGTTTACTTTCTATATAAATTCTATATAAATTGTTTTGGTTAAAAATTTTTCTTTATTATTAAAGTGTTTCAAGCTTAATTTCAAATGATGTAAATAACCTATAATTTAAAAGTCTGATATTAAAATATTCAAAATATAAATTTACGTTACCATCGAGAGATTCATAATATAATATAAAAATTTGTGCAAATCTCATAACTACATTAATTAAATTATGAATTGAAGCAATATTTTATACAATTAATACATCGTTTACATTGCATATTACGTATATCATAATATGCTTAGCTATTATAAGCATGGAAATAATAAAAGAAAAGGCAAAAAGAGAAAAAGTACTTAAATAGAGCTACAACTGAATAAGAAAACAATTACGACCTGATAAATAACGTGCATTAATATTTAAGTACTCGTAATACCAGTTGTGTAAATAACTCTTTCAGCACCGCTATTCAGATTTGTATTCTCATCGACGGTAGCGGGTGGTGGAGGCATGGCAAAAATGGGTTGTTGATTCGTTGAATTGTTTTGCGGGCCACCCTGCGGTTGTGCCGTAATTGCCTCATCGTCACTTTCCTCTTCCTGTTAAACAACAATCGATCTAATCAATATTTCATTTCTTTTACAAATAATAATGGACCAATATTCCGATAATTATATTTCATAATTACATATAAAAGTGAATAAATTATACCAATAATTACATTTTTATTATCTCCATTATGGAATTAACAATATAATATTTCTTTCTTTCTATTCTTTATTATATACAAAATATATCAGTTAAATCGAACATCTAAATTATTTCTGCTATCATCAATGTTAAGAAAGAAAATGACAA